AGCCAAATTTGAATAAAAGAGATGCAAAAATGCCAGTAAAGCTATAATTCTCGTCATGCCTCATATTGTACATTTTAGGTATGGTTAATAATTTTGTATGTTCCGATACTACTTTCTATAACTAAAATAAAATATTTTAAAATATGCCAACTGTTAATTACAGAGGGTCTTCCCCTTAGTAGGTACCCATTAAATGTTTAATGCATCGAACTGAACAAAGCTTATACAAGAATTAGTTGAGTACTACACCAAGAAGTTGTAATCTATTTCTCTCTATCACTATCTCTATCTTCTCCATTTCTCTATCCATTCCTCTATCTCTACATGTACAGACACAGATTTGGGCAACTTATTCAATTACTATTCTTGTCCTCACGTAGATTTGTATGTATGTATGTGTGTACGTGCATGTGTGTCTGCCCATTGCCTTCTGGATCAAATCTCCAACCCCTGGCACTCAAAACCATTCACAATCTGACCTTTCCCTACCTTTTGATCATCATCCATTACTCTCCAACATAAACCTTCCACTCAGCTAAACCAGTCTACTCAGTGTACAGCCCTGCTACCCTCATTTCTGGCTCCTTGAATTTCCTCATCCAAGTAAACTAATCTGTGTTACTTGTACTTCTTTGTTTCTTCAAATCCACTAAGCTCTCAACCAGATGGAAACTCTTATAGAAAGCCTTCTCAACCAGTGAAGCAAAAACCATTTCCTGCCTCATCTAGATAAGTTCTAGGTCAGCAATTAGTAGCTCTAGTGGTTAAGACCAAGTATAAACAATGTCACAAAAATAAAAGATTTGACTTTGACCAGAAGATGTGAAATAAGATGATATTATGGGTCAATGCAAGTATCATGACCAAATAAGCAACCAGAGCTAAAGGAGCTAAAGGAGACAAGATAACATAAGATGAGGAAACAGTAGACCTCTGGAGGCAATTTCCTTTATTTGCTACCACCTTCTTGTCAGTGGCAGCCTTCTAAGCTAGAGAGATGTATGAATCATGCCTTTCTTCATTAATGAATGAGTGACTGAATGAAAAGGTGCATACTTTATGCTAAGCACTGGACATACAAACAGAAAAGTCAAGGAAGTCCCTAGTCTCAAGAAGCTCACATTGCAATTTCAGAAAGATCACTTCTAGGACAGAGGAAGAGACTTCAAAGTTCTAATAAGGCAGTGGTGGAGAAGATGGCAAAGTGCAAAGATCATTAGAGTAACTAAGTAGATAAGATGACAGTGCAGGAGGATCCCAGGAAGTGGAGGCAGGGCACATGGTAGGGCCTGGTGTACTTCCACCTCACTGGAAGGAATAGAATTATGGATTCCTATCTCATCCAAGTCCTGAGAGCAGTCAAAAGTCGAGAAAAAGAGGGGAAGTGGGGGAGGAAAGAGGAAGTCCTCTAGTGGCATGGCTTCCTGTCTTCAGCCTGTCTCAAATGGGCTCTGGAATGTGGTGGTGGGTCATGAATTTGGGCTTCAGGTAGCCTGAACATCAACCCCTCTATAACTTCCTCCTCATTCTACTCATTACCATACATCACTTCATCTTGTTGTTTCAAGTGTTTCATTTATGTGTTTTGACCTATCCCCATTTGACTATAAATTTCCTGAAGATAAAAACTTACATACCACTTCTTTTATACTCCCCCAGCATTCAGCCCAATGCTGAACACACAATAATCAGTATTTCCTGATTTGTTTTTCTTCCAATCTAGATGACCTATAGGCAATGCAATTTCATTCCTACTTTTCAAGCTGGGGGTTCTACATCATTTTCACAAGTTTAGTATCTGGATTTAAAAGTCAACCAGTTCAACTGGCCCCAAGTAACAAATATGCTTTTCATTGCTCTTCCATTGTGAACTGTGATTCTTAATTTAACCTTGAAAATATCTGCACCTGGTAAGTTTGTAACATTCAAAATAAGAAATAAACAGCAGAAATATAGCTTTAATTCAGCATTATTTTGTCAAATCATTGGAGCAGGGAATTTATTTGCTGTTGTTCATTTGTTTCAGTGGTTTGTTCTTCCCTTCTCCAGCTCATTTTACAGATGAGGAAACTGAGGCTAAGAGGGTTGAGTGACTTGCTCAGAGTCACACACCTAGTAAGTGTCTGAGGTCAGATTTGAACTCAGGAAGATAAGTCTTCTGACTCCGGGCCCAGCGCTCTATCCACTGTGCCACCTAGCCACCCAATATCTTTTTTTTTTCAATAAAGCAATGTAAATCATTTTTTCAATTACATTTTGATTCATAGAATTTCTTTTATAACAAGTGGTAAAATAAGGGTGACAGTAGTCTGCTACATGACATCTGAATAATAAATCTTGCATGTACCTGGAATCAACAGAGAGAAATCTTCTGTTAAAGCCATGAGAACAATATATAATACTCTTAATAGTGAATATGGAAACCATCTTCTATGTAGCCTTAATAATTAAGATGAAGGCACACCAGTATTAGTAGCCTCACGGCATAGTGAATAGGCATTTAATTGGGGATCTGAGGGACTTGTGTTCAAATTTTGCCCGAGACACTTACTAGCTGTGTAACTCTGGGCAAGTCAACAATCTATTTATCAGTTTTGTTATCTGTAAATGGATATGAGGTCAGGGGACTAAACTTAATCATCTCTAAGGTCATTTGAAGAGCTAAATTTATGATCTTATGATCTGACACCATGATAAATTTCCCCTAGGCTATCAAAGTACAGCGCTAACGCATGAGAGTACTATCAGCCACCACTTGAGTAGGGAATCCAGGACCTTCCTCTTCCCCACCCCAAGTCTCACTGACGAGCTCCTACCAAGAACTGCACACTCTCTCTTGGCTGCATGGTGAACAATGCTCCTACCCCCACCCCAGGCCCACCTCTTTTGGAGATCTCCCAGAACCTAAATCAACTCTATTACCTCCTTTCAAATGATTATTAATTAGCCAGGGACCATCTGCCTTACCACTCCTTCCCAAGGTCCTCCAAGCTCCATCATCTGACTGTTGCTTTACTTACTGGATCTAAATGGCTCCTGGCCTTATATGACCTTATACCATGAAGCTGAACCTATCTGCAGGTAGCGCCTTCAAATGGAACATAAACTCCCAAAGAACAAGGATAGCTCTGCTTTTGTATTTGTATCCCCAGTGATTAGTACAGTGCTCAGAACATGGTCTTTCCCATTTTCTGCAAGTTCAAAAAGTGGTTAGGAGAAAGCAGTCATACTTAGTATGATTTTGGAGATTAGCCACTGACCTGAATTGTTTTCTGTGAAATATCCCACTTTGGAGCGTTTTCTTCCCTATATGGAGTAGTTCTTTGATAACTGCCAACCTTGTACCTCGGGACATGACTTAATAATCACCTTTACCAGAATGACCCAGAATTCTTGTACTAAGTTTCTGCCTTGGAATTTCATTAATATAGAAAGCTGGGGCATTTGGGAGGATAACTTTTTTTTTTGAAGAACCCTAATAATTAGGCAGTATTTTAAAGCACACATTCTTATGTACAAAAGGTGCTGTTAGACATCTTCCAAAGCACAGAAAAAAGAGTTAAGCAGGGTAAGTAACTCTGACCCTCAGAATGCAGATAGTCAGATCATGATTGGATGGAAGGATAAAGTGGTATAAGCCTTATTACTAACCTTTCCGACTCTCAAAATGTTGAAACCAAGTTAAACTACCGAAATCCACTTGAAGTAACAGACAATGAAAGTCACAATGATGATACAGGGTAATGTTCAGACAAGACAATCAATCCTGATTTGGGAAAGTTCTAATACAGCAGTCAGAATCATTAATTTAGTTAAATAATATTAAACTGACATTAATAGAGTATTTAAACCGGAATTCTCCCTACTGATTGTTAATATTTAAACAAAGCAAGCTTGTAAGCTATTTTGTCTTGGTCATAAGAGGATACATTTGCTCAACCTGTTCCAATAAATTTAAAAGAGATAACTACCATAGCAGCAAGTCCCTTCGAAAGTTATCATTCATCTAACCATATGCATACACTCTCAAACATCAGAGATATAATCTAAAGCTCACTTTATGGCAATTGTACTAAAATATAAACCTATGCCACTAAATAGCAAGTTATATAGCCAAGGAGCTATTTCTAGCTTTCTTTGAGAAGTCAGAAGAGCCTGATATTCCCAGGCAGTAAATCCTTATGAAAAGTAAGAGAAAATGTATTGGATTAGGTATCAGGAAGACTGAGTTATAATCTCAACTCTGCCAACATGACTGTTTTACTTGGGGTAAGGGATGGACTGGATGATTCCTAATGTCCCTGACTGCTCTAAATTCCACAACACAAGTACATTTACTTGTCTAACAACCACACTCCTAGTTAGCCATTATTAGGTAAGGCATTCATTCTACGGGGCCTCTGGGCAGTACTTAATTAATTTCTGCATGAAGAACTGAATGGGTCTTTCATGACTTTCAAAAGTGAAGGTACTTGGGAGCTTTCAGATTAATTTTTTTTAGGTTTGCTGATCTAGATCTCATAGATAAATAAGCTACTTTAGGAATGCCCATTAGATCCTTTGGAACTCTCATTCACAACCAGATTTGACTCAAATATTCTGTCAAATTCCCTTAGCTACACAATTTCTGATGGGCAAGAAAATTCATAGAATCATAGAGCCCTAGATCTTAGAAACGGAAGAGCTCTCAGGACATCATAACTTGCTTTTAGGCACAGAAAAGACTGTTTTTTACCCATTTTATAGGCAAGGCAACTGAGGCCTAGAGAAGCTCAGTGATTTGACCATTATAATACAGTTTTTAAGTCAATTTACTCAATCATTGTTCTCATCCTCACTGTTTCTCAAAAGGTGAATGCTGGCTTTAGTGTTTGACATATTCCTGCACTGGAACCCAGGAAATACTTATCTCAACTGCTAAAAAACTGAAGAGCAACCCCAAAACATTCAAAATAATATTGCAATTAATAATCAAAACTGTAACTATGATAATCACTTACCCTGGGTTATACAACATGACAGCTGAGAGATTTTCACATGATTTTGAGAGGTCAGTCATTGACAAACTGAAGGAAGACAAAAGTCCACTCTAAGAACAGAGCACAAAGCATTTCTGTTAACTTTTTCTATAATCAAAACCTAGCATGTACATTATCTAAACAGCTTTTTTTATTGCTGAAAACCAAGCACACAAACGAGAACTATCACACTTCAAGAAGTTTTTATTTTCTTGGTGTAGGTACTGGTAGGCCCAAGGCAGAATGCAATTTCTCCATGCCTGAGTGGATAGTCTATGTGAGCTGTCATGGCTGAAAAAATGTATCACTTGGAGGTCAATGAACAGTGCTGAGAAGCCTCTCTATTTAGCTACGCTGGTCCTTGAGCATCAGATACAGCCTATCTCTAGGCCATTAAAAGCTTTCCCAGTTTGGTCAGATCTCCCAGAGCTTACACATTCTGCTAGTAAGAGTCTTCAAGAAGACTAGAACATCTCCATGTCATAAAAAGACTTTCAGTGAAAGGCACAAATATATTTTCCTTTTTAGAATTAAAAGTACTGATGTATATGAGGCACAGGAATAATGTATGCCAGTATGCAAACACTTTCCAAACCAAATTCCCCCAAGTCACTAAGGTATTCTACAGGGACAGATTCCAGAGGGATCTGTGGATTGGGAAATTCCCCCTAATACTCAAAATAAAGATGGAGGAGAGGGTTAAATCATAAGATTCTAAAGTTAGATTTGGGAGCTGGAAGGTCATTTAGTCATACCACCTAATTGTACAAATGAAGAACTGAAACCCAGGGTAACTTGCCACACAGGGCACCAGGAGATAAACAGCAAAGCTGAGATTCATACCCAGGTTTGCTGACTCCAAATCCACCACATTTTGCAGTATACCACTTGTCAAGGTGAGGACAGACTGCCTGCACAATTGCAACAGTCTGCTGGTTGGTCTCCCTGCCTCAACTATTTCCCTACTTAAGACCATTAGTCACTTTGATATCAAATTAATCTTCCTAAAGTCCAGACAATATCACCCCTCTACTTAATAAATGCCAATGGCTCCCTATCACTTCCATGATCAAACATAAAATCATGTTTGTCATTCAAAGCCTTTCGCAACTTGGCCCCTCCTCTACCTTCCCAGTCTTCTTACATATTATTATCCCTTGCAGCCTGCATACTCTGTGATCAGACGCTCCCGCTCAAGATTCTGGGCATTTTCACTGGCTGTCCCCCACACCTGGAATTCTCTACCTTCCCATCTCTACCTCCAAGGATTCCTGGCTTCCTTCAAGTTCCAGATAAAATGCCATCTTCTATAAGAAGCCTTTTCTTATCTCTGTAACACTAGTGCCTTCATTCTACTGATTATTTCCAATTTATCCTGTATATCTCTTCTTTCTACATAGTTTTCTTCAGGTTGTCTCCCTCATTAAACTATCAGTTCCTTGATAGCAGGGACTCTTCTTTGTATCCCCTTCTTTGTATCTCCAGTACTTAGTATGATGCCTGGCACGCAGTAAGTACATAATAAATGTCTACTCAGTGACTGAATGAAATTAGGTAGTTACAATCTACCGTACCCATGGAATTCCCATTTTTTACATGAAAGAAGACAATTAATGTACCTGATAAAATCTAGGTGGTTAGGACGAGCTGAGTTGTGGGGGTTCTGGTGTGCTTTGACTACTACTCTAGCTGATATCTATCATCCTCCCCAAATGAGTAGAGCCAGGAACAGAAAGCCCATAAAATCAGCACTGCCCACAGAGTGAAGCTGCAGACCCCTGGCACCACATGCCCTCCTCCTTAATCATGCAAGTGGCTCTAACACCTAGGAGATAAGAAGCAGCTCCAAAATTCAGACTAGTCACAATGTTTCGCCTGTAATTAACGTAATTTCTCTCACCTTTCTCTTTTCCCTAAGTTTGGCAGCTTCCTTGGGGTGGTTAAAGCGAAACATGTTGGTTCTCCCGAGAAGTATAACAGCACCTAAGAAAATATACGTGTCGTTATTAACATCCAACAGTGACTCATACACTTAGTGGGCGGCGTCTGAAGTCAGATTTCTATAACTGAAACACAATCTCCAGTCAATGACCAAAAGAGAGAAAAAGGTTTGGGGTTTTGGTTGTTTTTTTTTTTTTCACAATTTAACTTATAAACCTTATAAAAATGTAAAGATTTTGCTCTTCTGGTTATATTTGAAAGCTGTGAATGATTTTTATACTTATAAACTAAATGGATTGTGGCTATATGTGTGAGAAATGATATATCTAAGGCACTGTTGTATAATTAATGTTATGGTTTTTAACACTTGGTATCTACTAATCAACTAGACTTTTAATTGATCAAAACTTATTCTGTGGAAAAAGAGAAAGGTCCCAACAATGTTTTGTTTTGTTTTGTTTTTTTGGTAGCAAAGAACTAGACACAAAGTGGGTGGCCATCAACTGAGAAATGGCTAAATAAACTGTGCCATCGAAATATAATGGAATACTATTATACTCTAAAAAATAAGTATAAAAAGTCAAAGAAATATTAGAAAAATTAAATGAACTTGCAGAGTCAAGTAAGTAGAACCAGGAAAACAGTATATACAATAATCACAAAAACATAAACAAAAAGAAACAAGGAAACAAAGTTGAACAATGTTGGAAAAGAGATGAAGAAATGCGCCTCCTTAATTTTGGGGAGAGATGGGGGATTATTTGTGTGGAAGAATGCACACACTATTTCACCAGTTTAGTTTGGTTTAACCACTTTTTTTTCTTTCCTACAAGAATAAGAATAGATTACTTTATAAAACCACCACCACAATAGGCGGGAGTGGTGAGAGAGGTAAATCCAAAAATAACTGTGATGTAAAAATAAAAGGTATCAATTGAGCTTTTCAAAAATTAAACACATCCTTCATTTACTGATGCAATTCACCAAAATTATGGGTATATATAACACATAAAACAATAATCAATTACGTTAAAGGACAATTATTAATTACAGCTGAGCTGATTCCTTTTTGTTGTTGTTACTGAAATGCCTAGAGACATAGGTTCTGCAGACCTCTTGTGTACATTACTGAAGTATTAATGGAAAAAACACTGGAATGCCTTTTCACTCACATATTTCATGGCATTTTAGGCCACCAAGAATAACTATGAATCATATATCTTAGAAAATTTATAAAACAAACCTCTCCCAAAAAGCAAAGCTCTCATGTAGCTGCAGGCTATCGCTTTTACCTTTCCCCAGTAAGCTATTGGTTCAAGAAAAGCCATGGTATTTATATGATGTTGGACACAGTATGGTATAATCACAGGAGAGCTGAACCTGAAAGTTGAAAGAATTAGGCTCTAGCTCGGGTTCTGCCACTAACCTATTGTATAATCTTGGATAAATCACTTCATTTCCCTGAGCCTCAGTTTCCTCATCTGTAAGAAAAAAGGGGGTTGGATTGATATGAGCTCTAAGGGGCCTTCAAGAGCTAAAGTTAAATGAAATATTCCTTGATTGTGAATCTGATTAATCGCAGTGTATAGACTTTCTGTAAAATAAGTACCATATTTAGCCCATATTAAAATATAAATATTGTGCCTTCCCTATTTTGTATAGAACTACTTTATGTTTATTTTGCATATACTTATACATGCACATGTTGTTTCCCCTAACAGATTATAACCTCCATGAGACCAGAGACTGGACTACTTTATTTGTAGAATGGTGCCTGGAACACAATAGGTACTTAATAAATGCTTGATTGGTGATTAAAAATATATTTCTCTTCCAGTGACTGCTTTAGAATTTATAAACCATCTGAAAATATACATGTAAATTCTATTTTTAAAAAAATGATGCAAATAGAAAGCTGAAGAAAAAGAACTACTTTTGTGTTTAGGTAAAATTCAATGGAGTTTTGATATCATGCTTGGCTTCTAATTTTGGATTTCACAATGTGGGCAGAAAGAGAAAAATTGAAAATGTGACCATTTTTTCACTTTATGTGGAGCAATAATGTTTAATATTATTATCAATTTCATCTGTGGAACATGGAAGTTAAGCTCCACAAACTTCAAGAAGGAAGTGTTAATCTTCCTAATAATGCTCCCCTTTTTCCCCCCTACCAAATACAGATAAATGAAAATATCTGCTATGCTATTTGGCAAAACTATTTTTCAGATTCGAATCCAAGAGTACAAGCAAAGAAGAGGTTTAAGATTAGTCTTTTCCAAACAGTTGTCATAATGCTCAGTGAAGCATAAATACATAGCAAAAAAAAAAACAAAAAAAAAAAACAAAAAAAAAATGACTAGTTCACTAGAGAAATGCAAAAGACAGGCTTATTTGTGTTCCATGAGCTCTTTGTTCTGAATTTCACTGGCTTTGGAACTCTCCATTTCCAATATTACATAAACTGACTGTTTCATAACTGTCAAGGAAAAGCAAGAATGTCTCTGAGGGAAGGCAGGAACTCAAAAAACAGAATTCACCTAAATGCTTTCTCAATACAAAGGTCCAGGAAAAGGTTTTCATTTCTCTCTCCTACTTCTTCAATGGCAAATTGGTTTGTATATGTTTTAATCTTCCCTCAAGTTTAAAGTGTGTCTTGAATATTTATTTACATTGAGACTAAACACACTGAGGGCACATTTTTGGTGACAAAGACATGATCTGATGCTAGTTTCCATTTCATTTGATCAGCCTTCAATCAACAGAACAGGAACAAAAATCCAACAAAAACTAAATTTGATAATATTGTGATTTAACAGTTTTTAAAATCCCATCTTCTAAGCAGTAGTGGGAAACTCAAATAAGGAATGGATCCCTGTCCACAGCATATTGAGGTAGAAAACCACAAATTAACATTACCTATACTGTAGTTTCACCAGTTAGGTGGCACAGTGGACAGAGTGTTGGGCCTGAAGTCAGGAAGACTCATCTTTCTAAGTTCAAATCAGACTTTAGACACTTATTAGTTTTGTGACGCTGGGCAAGTCACTTACTCTTAGCTATAAAATGAGCTGGAGAAGGAAATGGCAAACCATTTCAGTATCTTTGCCAAGAAAAAGAAATTGAAGGAATTAGAACAGGCAAAGAAGAAACAAAGCTACCACTCATTGCAGATGATATGGTGGTATACTTAGAGAATCCTAGAAAATTAAGTAAAAAATTACTTGAAATAATAAACAAATTTAGCAAAGTTTCAGGATATAAAATAAACCCACATAAATCATCAGCATTTCTATATATTACTAATAAAGCCCAACAGCAAGAGATAGAAAGAGAAATTCCATTTAAAGTTACTATAAATATTATAAAATATTTGGGAGTCTACCTGCCAAAACAAACTCAGGAACTATATAAACACAATTACAAAACACTTTTCACACAAATAAAGTCAGATCTAAATAATTAGGAAAATATCAGTTGCTCATGGGTAAACTGAGCTAATACAGTAAAAATAACAATTCTACCTAAATTAATTTACTTATTCAGTGCCATACCAATCAAATTACCAAAAAATTATTTTATAGAGCTAGAAAAAAACAATAACAAAATTCATCTGGAAGAACAAAAGGTCCAGAACATCAAGGGAACAAATGAAAAGAAATGCAAGGGAAGGTGACCTAGCTGTACCAGATCTTTAATTGTATTATAAAGCAGAAATCATCAAAACTACTTGGTACTGGCTAAGAAATAGAGTGGTGGATCAGTGGAATAGGTTAAGTATGCAAGATACAATAGTCAAGGACTATAGTAATCTACTATTTCACAAATCCAAAGATTCCAGCTTTTCGGATAAGAACTCACTATTTAACAAAAATTGCTGGAAAAACTGGAAAATAGTATGGCAGAAACTAGGCATAGACCAACATCATACACCCTATACCAAGACAAAGTTAAAATGGGTACTTGATTTAGACATAAAGACTGATACTATTAGAAAACTAGGAGAGCAAGGAATAGTTTACTTAACAGATCTATGGAGAATGGAAAAATTTATGACCAAACAAGAGATAGACCACATCCAAAGAAAGAACTATGGAATTTGAATGCAGATCAAAGTATACTATTTGCTATTTTTTTTTCTTCTGTTGAGTTTTGTTTCCTCTTTCTGGTGGTTCCTCCTATTGGTTCTAATTCTTACAACATCACTGTGAAAATATGTTTAATAGGAATGTATATGTATAGCCTATATCAGATTGTGCACCATCTTGGGGAGGGTGGTGGAGAAGAAGGGGGAGAAATATTTTAAACTCAAAAGCATATGGAAGTGATTGTTGATAAATCAAAATAAATTAATAAAAAAAAGAAATAGAGAACATTATGAAATGCAAAATGGATGACTCTGATTACATTAAATTGAAAAGTTTTTGCACAAACAAAGCCAATGAAACCAAGATTAGAATGGAAGCAGAAAGCTGGGAAATAATTTTTACAGCCAGTGTCTCTAATAAAGACCTCATTTTTAAAATACATAGAGAAGTGAGTTGAATTTATAAGGATATAAGTTATTCCCCAATTGATAAGTGGTCAAAGGATATGAAAAGGCAGTTTTCAGAGGAAGAAATTAAAGCTATCTATAGTCACATGAAAAATGCTCTAAATCACTATTGATTAGAGAAATACAAATCAAAAAGATTTTGAGGTACCACATCATATCTATTAGATTGGCTAACATGACAAAACAGGAAAATGATAACTGTTGGAGAAGATGTGAGAAAACTGGAACACTAATGCACTGTTAGTGGATTTGGGAACTGATTCAACCATTCTGGAGAGCAATTTGGAACTATGCCCAAAGGGTAAAATTGTACATACCCTTTGACCCAGCAATACCACTTCTAGGTCTATATCCCAAAGAGATCATAAAAATGGTAAAAGGACCCACTTGTACAAAAAAAAATTTATAGCAGCAATTTGTGTGGTGGCAAAGAATTGGAAATTGAGGGGAAGCCCATCAATTGGGGAATGGCTGAACAAGTTGTAGTATA